GTTTTTTATAATATTGATCTTAGAAACATGAAATTAAGCATGTGGAGTTAATTAGAATCTATAAAAGTGGGCCCTTTGGTAGACATAAAACTAAGCAATCAGGGACTTGAGTGAATGAAAATTTAAACTGGAATATTTTCTGGTACTTTTTCGGTCTGTAATTGGTACTTTTTGAATTTCTATAATATTGAACTTAGGAACATGAAATTAAATAAAATAGGTCTTTTGGTACTTTTTCGTACTTCACTGGTACTGGTACTTTTCGAGCTTTCTAAAATATTGAACATATAAACATAAAATTAAACACGCAGTATCCCAATTGAACGAAAATTGAAAAAGGATACTTTGGTACTTTTTTCTTCTTTTACTAATACTTTTCTATAATATTGAACCTAAAAACATAAAATTGGACATGCAGCTTCCTGATTGTATAAAAATCTGTATGCGATTTTTTTAGTTTCTGGTTGAAAATTAAACATGCGTCATCATGATTTAATGAAGATATACTTTTTCGTTCTCCAACTGTTTTTTTTAAATTTTCTGTAATATTGAGACTAGAATTATAAAATCAAACTTAAAGAGTTCTCTAAAAGAGGAATTTTTGATATTGCAGATATATATACATTTACAATAATGATATTTATAATATTCCATTACGATGAGGGTAGCGAAGCGCACTGGGTATAGCTAGTATATATATATATATACATATATATATATAGATATATATATATAGTTATATATATATATATATATATATATATATATATATATATATATATATATATATATATATATATATCTGAGTCCTTATTAAATTCTGAGTCGATTTAGCTATGTCCGTATGTCTGCCTTAAACACGCTCACGTTAAAACTAAGCAAAAGTAATCAACCGAATTCATCCAAAAATATTCGTTGTTATCCTGAGCAATTTGGTATTGAAAATCATCAAAATCGGTTCATAACGTTAAAAGTTATGAGTAAAAATTTCAGACTTCCTCGAAAAAATTACGGTTTTTTTCGTAATTCTTAAGTCGTTTTCTCAGAAACTACAAAAGATAATTCGATGAATTTTGTCACACATTATCTTTTTACCCAGGGATTAATTGTGTTGAAAATCAAAATAATTGATCCAAAATTTCGGTCCACAATTGGTTATAGCTCTCATATAAGGTCCACTGCCGAAAATCACATAAACGAACATATTTCATTGACAAATAAAGCTATTGTGATAAAATTCGAGATAAATATTTTTTACGGATCGGTCCATTATTGGTCATAGCTCCCATATAAAGCCCACTTTCGAAAATCACTTAAAAGCACACATTTCATTGTCAAATAAAGCTATCTTAATAAAATTAGACACAAATATGTTTTGTCTAAATATAAATCAATCTATGAAATTTTTTCCGTATAGACCCACAATTGGTCATAGTTCTCATATAAGGTACAATTCCGAAAATCACTTAAACGCATATATTTCATTGAATTCTAAAGCTATAGAGATAAAATTCAACTTGAATATGTTTTGTATACATACAAATCATTCTACCACTTTTTTCCCGGATCGGTCCATTATTGGTCATAAATTCCATATAAGGTCCACTTCCGAAAATCACTTAAACGTACATATTTCATTGTCAAATAAAGTTATCTTGATAAAATACGACACAAATATGTTTTGTCTTTATATGAATCACTCTACGAAATTTTTTCCGGATAGGCTCCCGTATAAGGTCCACTCATATTTTTCTTTGAATAATAAAGCTATCGGGATAAAGTACGACTTGAATATGTTTTGTGAGCATATAAATATTTCTACCAAATTCTTTCCGGATCGGTCCATATTTTTAAATAGCTCCTACATAAGGTCCACTTCAAAAAATCACTTAAACGCACATATTTCATTATCAAATAAAGACATTTTGATAAAATTCGACACAAATATGTTTCGTGTACATATATATTACCGGATAGGGCCGTAATTGGTTATACCTCCTATATAAAGTCCACTTCCGAAAATCACCTAAACGCACATATTTCATTAATCTATTGGAGTAAAATTCGACTTGATTTTTTATATAAATCATTACACGAATTTTTTTCCTTATCGTTCCTTAATTGGTCACAACTCCCATATAAGGACCATTTCCGAAAATTACCTAAATGCACATTGATAATCAAAGTTATCGGGATAAAATTCGACATAAATGTGTACTTTGTATATATAAATCATTCTACGGAAATTTTTCTAGATCGGTCCATAAGTTGTCTTAACTCCCACAATAGGTTAACTTCAGAAAATCACTTAACATCACTTAATTCGTTATTAAATGATTATATCCGGATAAAATTCGACATGATTATGTTATGTGTATAGATAAATCATTCTTTTAAAATGGACCTAATCAAAATTAGTTCGACATATGAATAAATGTTAGTATCCTCAATACGGAAACAAACATTTTGTCAAGTTATCTAAAAATTATATAATTAAATGGGTTTTAATAAAAAGCAACTTGCTGGTGGAGGGTATTTAAGATTCGGCATAGCCGAATATAGCACTCTAACTTGTCTTTTTAATTTTTTCCAAATTTGTACAAATGTTGTCTAGTTTGTTACCAATAATATCTAATTTATTTTTCAGAACTAATCGCTCTTCGCTTTTAATTTCGGAAAGCTGTTTTATTTTTTGGCCAATGCTTTCCAATTAGTAACTTTCATTTTTCATCAATTCTGCCAGATTTACGTTAGATTTTCCTTCGTTTTGAGTTGGACTTTTATAGGGATTTGTACGTTTTCTTCTTTTTGAAACTGAAGTTGATGGATGAGGTATCAGATTCCGAATATTAAATACATTTTTCATCATTATTAAAATTTAAAGCAATACGTTTCCCGAAAGACTGAGTATTTTTTATTCCATGAACTGTTTCATTTAAACCACTTATGACAGCAACTTCTTTCTCTAATTGGCTTAAAATATATTGGTTAAAATTGCCTCCTCCAGTTTGACGGACTTCTTTTTTGTTGTGGGAAAGTTTGCGCTTTACATTACTTTTCCAATCAAGCCATGACTGAGTATGTACAAAATATCAGTAAGCAAAGAAATTCAAAATGTTTCCATAACTTACTTTCTTCCAATCTGCCAAGTCTTTTGTTGGGGGTCTGGCTCTTCTTGAGATGTCTTATCTTTCTTGGAAATACCCTTTACTAAATCATGATGGTCTTTCATAAACCGCGCAAGGATTTTTTCCTGGTTTATATTCTTTCGTTTTCTCCTAAATTATAATTTAATTTTATTATGAATATGTACCTCATAATTTGGTGTGTATATACTTACATATTTATTGTTTTGGTTAATTTAAATCGACAAATTAAACATATTTTATAATATTTTTAAAATTTAAAGCGTAAAGATTTTTTTGCAACCAATTTTCATTTTGACAACAAACATATGTTTACTTAGTAGCAGTGGTGCCAAATTGTTTTTAGGAAACACAAAGAATATTTCTAAGGTTATGTTTTTCTTCCTCAATATATAAATTTTTAAATAATATAAGAAAAATATTTATTTTTAAGATAGTTCGCAGTATTTGCTAAATTCAGCTCGTTGTTATAATCAGCTATAGTTTGGTGCAACTATGTTATGTCAGTCCGTCATCTTCATTAACTTCGAAATTTGTGTGATGGTGGCAACACAGCGTTTTTCGAAACTAAACAATTTATTGCCCGGCACAACAATAAAATTTTAAAAATATGTGAAATTGATGAAATTATTTTTCTTAATGAATATTTTTAATCAAATTGGTAGAAAACAAGTGTAATTACTGTGTATATTAAGAATACAAACAATTATTAACATCAAAAATGTTCTTTTATTTAAAAAAAAAACATATTTATCAACACAGGTCAGATTTTCGTGCTTTTTGTAAAATTTTAGATGTGATTTTAAAACATTTTTTAAGAGAAGAGTTTAAATTTTGTATTAAAGTGTTATATTAATAAATTAAACTTTAAAGTTTTATTTTCAGTCATTTTATTTAACACAAGTGAGATGTTTCTTAAAGAAAATGGAGATTCGTTTTGCTTTCACTTAACTATTTTTAAATGAAATGTATTCGATTTTATTTCTTTGGAAGTGAAATCTTGAACACCAAGAAAATGTGAAATCGTTCGTTTTCACATTTTGTCTTTTGAATTCGGAAACCAGAACATACATAATTATTTATTAAATGTGATAAGAAATGTATAAAAATCCAAAATATTATATTCCTTAAAAAAAAATCGGTAACATTTGCCATATACATCACATTATCAAATTTTGTTATCGTTTATCTATTATCTATCATCCCTGAAAGTTTGAAAGATTAAAGATTATGATGGGAGGCAGACATGATTAATGGGTTTTCAAAGGGCTGTGAAAATATTTCACTGTGTGAATTTTTTGAGATAGCCTTTTTAGTTTTTGTGATAGGAAAAATATATTGGTCTGTGATGGAACGTCAATAATAGTGAACAGTAAGACATAATATAATCTGAAGCCCGAAAAAAATTGAAACTGAACCCCAGAACTGCCCATGGGGCACATTTGATAAATATATGTAATGCTTGCGATGTGTAACAAAATTTGGTTAAAATATAGAAAAAATCAATAATAATTTGTTTTAATTTTTTTTGTTAAGTTATGTGAAATAAACAATAAATATCTGGTTTATTATACTTTGTTTAATGAATTAAAGTATAAAAATGCGAAATATGTCTTTATTTTTATAATTTTTGAATTTATTTTGCTAATGACAAATCTGCCCCAAATCTGACGTATTTACCCCATGGGTGGGACGGTATCGCCGTTTTTGGTCAATGCAGAAAAGTTTAAAAAATATGTACATTAAGATGACATAGGAAAGAATGAAAGGGATAAAATTAAAGCCAACATATCTAAGTATCCGAACCAAGAAAAAAATTAGGAATATATATTGTAGTATTTTATTATATTTCAGATGTAACAAGTATAATACCATCAAATGCAACAACAACGCTAACCCAACAACAGACATCTCTTCCTAATATCACCAATGCAGTATCCCACACAATTGTACAACATGTTATGCCGCAAACAATAACTTCTGTAGTGTATCCTTGCAATGCCCAGACTGAAGTTAATCTACCTGATTCAACTATTTCACCACCTACTCAAGATAATTCAACAATACAACGTTGCAACGTAAGTAAACTGTGCTAAACAAAAGAGAAATGCGTGCGTGCCTTCACACTACTCAGATAATGACAATGACCAAATACAAAAATAAATCAACTTCCTGGATGTATGAATGAATGTATAGAAAACCCACTCTGAAGACCGCTATAAAATAACCAAATAAGAAGTGTGGCAAAAATTTTCATTACCTAGTAATCTAGAAAGTAATATTGCAATCACGTGGAAACTAATTACTTTTGGGGTGAATAACTAATTATTTTTGTTCGACGAGGTTCAAATAATATGTACCTACCTTAAACAAATTAATAAATGGTTACTAATTTGATTACAAAAACTTTGCGAAATAACTAGTTACAAATAAACCTTCAAATATGTTATGTGATAGCTAGTTATTTTGGGCCGACTTTGTATGTAGAAAACAAAAAAATAAAAAAATTCCTCGGCCGGGATTTGAACCCAGGCATTCAGTTTTTTCTATGTTTCTCACTGCAGCCGCTTACTCGATGCTCCATTAACATGTTGCTTTTCATAATTTTGAGAAAATATATAAATGAATGTCATTTTGAAAAAATAAACAGTATCCAGCAGGGCTCGAACCACGAACCCCCTGTTTGTTAAATGAACGACCTAGACAATTGAGCCATAACAAATCCAAATTATTTTGTTCTTTACCAGTAATAACCTATTCAGCTAAATGAAATAATGTGGATGATAATGAACACTCATTACCAAGTAATGTATGAAATAACTACTGGCTATTACCAAAAATTTCAGATTTTTTACTGGGTTGTTTTAATTTTATTCGTTTTTAGATAAAGTTTAGAATAATGTGTATCAGGTCTCATAAACAAATTGTTTCCCATATAATTTTCATATGCTTGCATGTCCATATTTATATCGTCACCTATATTTAACTGAATCAAAAAGGTAAAATCATGATATTTATTAGTTCAAAACTTGTACTTCTCTACATTTTATTAAATATTTATTAATTGAATTATGAATATACTATCGTGCAATATATAGAAGTTATTTAATTATAATGGGTTTTATTTTTAACTAGGGATGGCAATAATAATTATGTCTTGGTAAAATTTTAACTTAAAAAGGCATAAGGATAGTGTTTTATATTTCATATATATATATATATATATACCCTCCACCACCATCAGTGGTGATAGAGGGTATATATAAGTTTGTCATTCCGTGTGTAACACGAAGAAATATTCATCTGAGACAAACAAAGTATTTATATACATATATTCAGGGTCCTTATCAAATTCTGAGTCGATTTAGCTATGTCCGTCTGTCTGTCTGCCTAAAACACGCGCACGTTAAAACTAAGCAAATAAATAAACCAAATTCACCAAAAATATTCACTGTTGTCCTAAG